TGGTTTTTACAGTTATCCTGTAAACTGTAATTTATTTTCCATCATGTGACATCACAGTAAATAATGAGACTAAATTTCAGTGTTAGGTGAACATTCACAACATGCAGAGGATTTAACATAAACATTCTTGCACACCAAGATAAATGTATACAGGATGCTTAAGAAGGGAATTAAAAAAAAAAAAAAACTGAAAAGTTTTAGATAGATTTTCATGCTTTTACAAAAAATAAACTCCTTGCAGTTTGTTTTAAGGCATATGCAGATTTTCTAACAAACCAGAGTGGGAGTTTTTTCATATTGCACATCATAAATCTGCAGATAGATTCATTTTTATTCTTTCATATTAGCTACAGCTAAGTAGCACCAGATGCTTCTGCGTAAAAAACAAACGTGTAAGTAATTTTAATGCAAATACAGTATTAAAAACATACAAATTCAATATAAGCAAGCCATTTAATAGAAAAAAATTTAATCAAGTTTGCAGTCCCTGTAGCTATAAGAAGAAAAATGTTTCTGCTCTGTAATTTTCCCAGTCTATTGCTCAAAAAAATTGTTATGGGACAAAATAATCCTTCCAAACATAAAGAAGAGATCCAAAGAGACCAGCATTTAAACCAGCTTCAGCTGCAGTTCCTGTTCTTTCACTTTGAGTTTCACAAATAAAGTAACTTGATCACTTTCTCTCCTTCGGCAGATTGAAAGAACTATCTCTCCAAAGAGTTCCTAGCTGGCCTCTCTGGGACCAGGAGAGTAAGGTGAATGACAGTACGCAGCTATGAACATGGATCAAAGCAAGCTATAAATGAAGGCATAAAGATTATTTCTTTACTGTTTTTCCTGTGTCCTCAAGAAGAACAGAGACATGAAATTCTAGGTAAAAGCCCCAACTTTCTCATTTTCATAAAGCAATGATTTTTTATTCATACAGTTCTGAAGAATTTAGTAAGGAGGACTGTTTGGAACGTTTGTTTGTTTCGAGGTATGAAAATATGGAGGAATAATGATGGAATAAAAATGGTAAGAACAGAATTGTGATTCAGTGCAGTACAAGTGCTTTCACTGTAATACAGCCACAAACTACTTAATCTTAAAATAATTTCAGATTGCTATCATCATTTTCACATACTTACCTAGTATCAAACCCACGAACCACTGCACCCATTGATTTAGCTGCTCCTGCAGAAGCCAGGCCAGCAACTCCTCCTCCGATGATCAAGACCTAGAATGATACCATCAACATCCTTGGAGCATGAACTAAAACTAGAGCTGGTTAGAAAAGCAGCAACATTGCACTGGTTTCACAGCTGCAGATACATCTCATTAACCAGCCATTCAAACAAGTTACCTTAGGACACAGAACCTGAAATTACTTTGGTAAAGCTGCCCCATAAATCTAACAGTTTAAAAGCTGTAACATCACTTAGCTGAAAGTCAACTCATCCGTAGCAAAGTTTATGTAAGCAACTACAAGCTTTCTCCTTAATCTACCTTTACTTTTTCTTCCCTAATCCTATTTTCATTTCTCTTCAACTCAATCCACCTGCAATTCCAATCAAGTAATCCTTTCCATCACTGCCTTCAACACACGAGAAATCCCAACTTCTTAACTGCTTCCTCACCTATCCTCTTTTGGGGAAAATAAAAAAACCCATCCATATATACATAGCTTGATGTTTAAAACTAAGCAAACTTCAATAAAACTCAAATTATTCTATTTTTCCTCAAAAAAATGACACTACAATTAGTGAACAAAAATTGGTATGGGAATAACTACAGGGATTTCTAAAGTCTCTAGATCTATCCCCAATGCAGGAGAAGAAGCCTTTTGACACAGTTGCAGTAGTGGTTAGCTGTGCTCAGGTATTCACATATTTTTCTTCCACAGCATCTATTTAATTGCACATACCTTTGCAGGAGGAACTTTACCAGCAGCTGTGATCTGACCCGTGAAAAATCGACCAAAGTGATTTGCTGCTAGTACGACAGCCTTGTAACTGTCAATTAAAGACAAACACATATCAGTATTTTCCCAGGCTCAGAACAATCCCATTCAAGACAGCAATCAAAAGGCTGAACATTTGCCCATAGCATGTGTAGGACAAAGCAAGTTTAATATCTTACTATTGAGCACAAGTTTAATAGTCTGTCTTTGTTCATATTTGTTACTTTTTTTTTTTAAATCACAGAATGTATTTTCAGACAGAATTTTTGGACTGCAATATACTGGACATCCACAACCATCCTCTCAAATTAAATTTTACCTGAACAATAAACACGTTAACTTGCCAAAAGTTAATTCTGTAGTCTTTGAAGCTACCTTCAAAGGCTGTAACCTGAGGCATGTTAGGGAAGGAAACATGAACAAGCAGTGGCAAAACCCAGACTAATTTTGCAGTAAGCTCACTTAGACAAGCGAGCACACACTCAAAAAGATACTTTAACTCTGCAGAGCTATATGGCTTATGGTAAATAGCTTAACCTTACTACTTCTTTTGCCCCATCTGCTTCGTAGCCACCCAAGAATAGGTGGCTGAATACCAAGTTAATATCAGTAGAGCTATCTGAAAATGCAAATTAATGTGTAACTGTGTCTTTTCTCAGCAACAGCGCACATTTTCGTGCACTTTTACTAACAGTGTTGTGGTTCAACAGTCCCGTTGCACCTTCCTTCCTATCTCTAGCAGGGACATACGTAGGTCTTATGTAAAATTAGTTTTAATTTAGAATACAGTTTGTAGATTTTATATCTTTAAGTACATTATGAATTTTTATATTTTAGTAAAACTACACTGAAAACACAGAGAAGTAACCAAACATGTACACGGATGTATACTGCTGGTGTCCACAAAATCTGGCAGTCTTCTCCAATGCTTATTATGACTCACGAACATGATCTAAGTAAAAAGTCAAAAAAATTAAAAAAAGCAATAAAGAACCTAATAATAGAAGTAAGCTTGATGACAACAACATTTTAATTCACCACAATACCAGTCACCAAGCATGAAGATATCTGAGAGTATTTGGTCTTTTGTTTATATCTGCCATGGCAACTGCATTCATAGTGAGTGCTGTTTGGGTTAGTTAGCTCCCAACATCAGATCCCAATGACAGACAATCTGTGTTGAAGCTGTCTTAAGGATATTTTTGAGCCTGCTCTGATCTAGTTCAAACCAAAAAGGCACCAGACAAAGCAGCTGAGGAATTAGAAGAACTGGCTTCAATTTTGTTATTTTTTTTTAAAGCCTTGCTCTGATGTGCTGCAAAGTTGACCATAAAAAAATTAAGTTGTTTGGTACCTGCAACAGCGTCATCCTGCTTGAAACAGCTATATGAAAATAGGTGCAGAATTGTTTTAGATATACATAATATCAAAACACATAGCTTTTAATCCAGCTATACTTACTCAAGTTAAAAAAAATAAAAAATAAAGTAGTAAGATTCATACCCAGCAATGTTGGCCATGGAGCTAAGTGCATCATATCCCTGAGCAATGGTGACCCGCGGAACCTGATCCATAGCCAAGACAGTAGTTTTTTTTTCTGAAAGTTTTTTCAGGAGGTCTGGATTTTGTGCTGGGTAGATAAAACTAATCAGGGTAGCCGCTGTCTTAAAAAGATCTGCCTCATGTACACCTAGAGACGAGTTGTATATAGGAGCCCTCACCTGAATAAAGAGAGAAGTTTCCAAATTAATCAGAGGAAATAAATCGGAACACACTCCACTTCCTTTCTCCCAAGTTGCAGTCTGTCCATTCCCATCCACAAAGTACACAAAGAAAAAAGTATATCAAAGGCTGTTTACACAACTGAACTGGGTAACTGCACTTCTTAACTGCAGTCCACATATGAGAATTAGCTCTAAGCAGACTGGTGACTGGGCAGTAACAGTCAGTACATACTTTCAGAAAGATGTGATGGCTTCTAACCAGTAGTAACTGGCTTTTATGACAAACAGCTGCCCCAAAACCTGCCATTTTTAAGCAAAATTATTACTGAACAGGTGCACTAATTAAGCTCTACAGGCTACAAATCACTAATTTGGTAGCAATGCAGCACTACATACAGGGAATTTCAGGCATGGAGTCTAGCAGATTTTCATCTTGATCTGTATTCACTTCTTTTGAGTTTCTCACTTTTCTTCAAAAAGAAATCTACTTAAAAGTGTTATTCACAAACTCACAGAAAATCTACATTCAATCCTGACAAGATAACTTCAAATAGAGGAGTTAAAGGAAGTCTCAACATGAGGTTCAATCAAGGTCTTTTTTTATTTCAGGACCCTGCACAATCTAATACCTCTCAAGCAACCTCACTTTTAGCAGTCTTCCCAGATCAGCTACAGCTCATCTAGTTACAACTACTTTTGAAACACACTGCTGCTGTGGAATTGTTGGATGTCCAACTGAGAAGAGCTAGAAACTTGCATCTTCAATACTCCAAGCAACTCTCTCTAAAGAGCAACTTGAGTTGTATGTTACTAATTTTGGAGTGAAAGTTTTTTAGAGCCAGGACGTCATCTGATGAGAACCTGGAACTAGTCTACCTTGCTCTAGAAAACACAACTCCTCCAAAGTAGTTAAAAACTTGGTAAGAAATTATCCTCCATTCTTTCAATGCTGTCATTTACTACTGTAGGAGCACACCTGAGCTATATATATATATAAAAAAAAAAGACAGATTAAAATTGATTCAGAACTTAGAACAGAAAAGATTAAAGGCACACACTTACTGAACTTTCAGTGGACTATTACAAAAAATTGATCTATATGTTTCTCCGAAAAGAATGTAATAGAAAATACATTAATAAAGTAATTACTTTGACAATCAAATCAGAAGCCAGGACTTCCTTGGTCCCCTGGATCTTTGCTCCAACTTCTCTGTAATGGTCATCAGAAAATTTGGAAGCTTCTCCAGCACCAGATTCCACCACTACATTGAAGCCTTGTTTAACCAAGGCTTGAACTCCAGCCGGTGATAGAGCCACTCTTTTCTCATTCTCAAATATCTCCTTGGGGACACCTACAGTCAGCTGTTTATAAGGAATTCCTGTAAGAGTGGCAGACAGACAGCATTAGTTGTACTAAAGATCAATAACCGATATTAATGGCACTCTTCAGCATTGTACAGATACAAGCAGACATGTCACACTTAGCAATTCTCCCTCCTAAGGGAAGAGGAAGTAGAATGATAATTTTCTAGCACTGTAGTTTACACTTCCTTAAATTACACTATCTTGCTAGAGATTCCTGTTCTCTCAAGAATAAGCAGGTCAGCACAATGAGCCACACAAGCAGTAACAAGTGTTTGGTGCAGTTCACACCCATCTGAATTTACACAGTTCTGATTGTGTAACTGGCATTCTGATTTATACAATAAATGGTGTTCTGGTGATAACACATTCTACTTAGGGTAAGAAGAATTTAAATCCCTCTCCAGTCACTTCAACTTCATTGTGAAGAAATAAACAAATGAGCTTGAACAGCTGAACTGCATTTTAACTGAATAGGTTTTTAACGTCTTTTAATGTCTACAGTTGTCTCAGATCGCTATTAATGAATATATCTTACATACCACAAAGTACACTGCAAGGCACAACTACATTTATAAGGTACTCTAAGAGTTGCTACAGAAATGAAAAATGTGAATTCAAGAGTACTTCAAGAACAATGGAACATCCATTCATAGTTTGCCCAATTATACTTCTCTTCAACGCTACTTCCTTGTCTTAACTTGTTGGAAGCTCTCCTAAGTAACACCGGGAAACTGCTGAAACTGCAATTTATCAGTTGCAGCTTAAGGTTTCAAATTATGAACATCTAACTATGTTCATGTACAATTTGTGGGCTTCCAGTATAATATCCAAGAGTTTAACTCCTCTAACCCCATCAAGTGTTTAAATACATTATTTATAAATACACAGACTCAAGCAGAACAATCATACATCAAACTACCATATTGCTTCAATTACACTAGACAGCGTGCAGTCCAGTACGGAGGCCCAGTTCTGCACCAGCTTTCACTGACATCTACACAGAATTTAAGCCTGGATTGTGACATTCATACACAAGACACTTATATCACAAATATATTAACGAAATACAATTTGAGTACCCTAAGCAGTCACTCCAATTAAAGGTCAAGCAACCAAAAAACCAACTCAAACAAAAAAAAAGAAAAAGGAAAAAACCCAAACTCCCCCCCCAAACAACCAAACAAAAAATAAAAAGAGGAGGGGGGTGAAAGGCTTGTTTTAAATTACAAATCTGCTTTTACTTTGGCCACCAATACTATGTATTGTGCTACAAAAATTGTACCAAACTAGTAACGTGTTCTATGTTTTAGGAAGGCCTCCTTTTCACTTTTTTTTCCCATTTGTTTTTTAACACAGAAACAAGCAAAACAAAGCCAAAAAGATACCACACAATAAGAGCTTTGAGAAACTTAATTATTTTGATATTTTTAAATCTATCTATGAAATAAAACTGGGACTATCAGATGCTTAAAGCTGAACATCTGAAAATGTTTTAGCTTAACAACTTTCAAGATACTATCAACTTACAATGTTCCGAAAATACAATACAGAGTTCCTAAGAACTGGTACTTAAATATCTACCTGTATTTGTCAGACTTCTAAACTATTAAAAAAAAAACCTCATTGAACTCATCCAACAAGAAGACAGAATGAAAGATCACCAGAAAAAGAAGTGCATTACTTCCAATTATTTTTACCTTTTTTTTTACTTTAGCTTTCTCTTTGAAATTAAACTAATAAAATGGTAACAAGTAATTTGAAGACACAAGCATTTTGATATTTTCTATGTTGGAGAACATTTAAAATTCTTTAGATTACAAGACAAAAATCAAATTCAGAAAAACATGCTTTAAAGAAACACAAAGTCACAACAGGAGTGGGAATGCACATCTAAAACAGACCCAGAAAGTTAAGAATGCTTTACAAATATTTGCTTCATCAGCATATACCACATCTAAACATCACTCTGCAACTCAGGGCATCCGTATCATAACAGCACTAACCACTTGAAAGCTACAATAACCACTGCTGTCATTCATACAAATCACCCTTGTCATTTGAAGAGAAGTTTCTCCTCATCTCGTCTCCTAATTACTACACAATAAAGTCCTGCTTCTGATTTTCACTAAATCAACTCAGTGGATATGAGCTCTCTTGTCTTTTAGAAGCAGAAATGAAACTTAGAAGATTGAAATTTGTTAGAATACAGAGACCAATCATGACTTCAGAAAGGAAGTAGCTCTAGGATAGAAGACAAAAGGCCTTTCAAGAAGCACTGAGAAAATAAGAACTCAAGTGCTACCTTCCCTTTCTCCTTTTGGAAGTTTTTGCAGTGCACAAATACAGAGGAAGGAAGGAATAAATTATAGCATACAGGGAACAGAAGGATGACTGCAAATTTAAAGGCAGACAGACACTTGATTAAAGCTTATACACTTCTCAATCAAAAAATTTAGGGTTTTTGTGTAGGTCCTAAGGCTCAAATGACAATAGATGCTTCTGATTTCTTTTTGTTCACTTGCTTTTGTGTAGGGTACCAGAGCAGAAAAGTAAACAGCTAAGAGGGACAGGACAGGAATATGCACTCCCTACATGCCAAGTATGTATCCTCTTTTCTTTCTTTCACATTGTTACACCTTGCATGCAATAAAAATCGGTAAAACTTTTTCAGATAGAAAGTATTTGCACCTTATTTAGTAAGCCGAGACCAATATTGAGGACTACGCCCTCCTCCAATGCTCTGGAGATCAAATCCAGGATACAGGTTCAACAAGTCTCATTTGCCTCTATCCTTTTCTCCTCTGTCCCACCACCAAATTTCTAGCAACCAGTGAATACAGAAGCAAGAGACTACAGAAGCAAACAGATGCCGGTTTGCCAGCCTTTAACTAGAGCAGGTATAGGACATTTTTCAAGCAGACTACCCTGAGCCATTCAGCACCAACATGGCGCAGACATCTACAACTGCAAAGCAAAGATCCATGTTAAAACTTCAGGACATGCTATGATAAACACTATGTTTGAAATAAGCTACACTATGAACACAGATTTGGTTTGTTGAACTCAGCAATCTCATCGAAATCATTAGTTTTGAAAGGTTGAAATCTAGAATTATAAACTTCTAATCTTGATTTAGGTTTTATTTTAAGAAAGCGCATCTGCTATCCCTGCCATGGGTTTAAAACTGCACAAGAGTGTGAAGCTTCCAAGTTGCCTTTCTAAGCTTCCATGTCAGATAATCTCTTTAAGAACTGCTTTGAGTATGTTTTAGTAACTAACCTAACTGCTTTATGACATCAAGAACATTTTCCAAAACCAGACCGATATACACGTACCTTGAGCACCTTCCTGAGTCATTTGAAGGTTTTGAATGTATTGTTCATCGAGTAGGAGACACACAGTACTTTTTTTGATATAAAGAATCAACACCGAAAGGATTCTGCCACTATCAAAAGTAGAATCATTAAGTTTCACAGGCCTCAGAACCTTAGCATGGAATGTACGCAAATCAGAATTTAGAAAAATATACACGTACCTTGAGCACCTTCCTGAGTCATTTGAAGGTTTTGAATGTATTGTTCATCGAGTAGGAGACACACAGTACTTTTTTTGATATAAAGAATCAACACCGAAAGGATTCTGCCACTATCAAAAGTAGAATCATTAAGTTTCACAGGCCTCAGAACCTTAGCATGGAATGTACGCAAATCAGAATTTAGAAAAACTAGAAAGAAGCCACTCTTTCTGATCTCTCTTCCCCTTAACATAATCTCGACTGTAATGACGAAATATTTAAAGCACAGTCTCAAGTGTTAAGTAAACAAAATAAGTAAGTAGTTTGCATCTCCAAGCTTCAGAAATCAAACAATTTAAAATAATTATAAAAGTAATTTTCTCCACTTAACTGCCATCTACAAACTGAGTGTTTCAAGAAGATCCTAAGTTAAAACTGTCAACAAAACTCAGAATATTGTATGTAGAGAAAGAGAGAAAAATACAGGGCTTTACCTCCTTAACCTGATTTCAGGAAATAGACTGTAGCGAAATAATATCAACAAATATTAGAGACTGACTTAGAGAAAAGAGAAAGGAGAAATTTTTTACTATATGCCACATGTCCTGGGATGGGAAAACAGGATACATAACCTGCCTAAATTCTAAGTTACTCTAGTATCAGCTTTAACAAAACATCTCACCTGTTCTGAAGATGAGGACATATTCCGAGGAACAGCAATATGATGTTGGCAAAAAGAAAAGAAAAATGGTACAGAAGATTAAACACGCACCTGATCCCTCTTCTTATACAAGCAAGGAGGTAACAAAAAACCCAAGGAAATCAAAGGAGAATGCCTATGGTTTATAAACAATGTACAGCTTATCTAGAGAATGAATTGACAATAAACCGTTACAGGTTTAAAAATTCTGCAAGATTTAGGAAAAAAAACAGGAAATTTTTAAAAAGAAGCATCAAAATAAAAAGGACATTAAAAGTCCCAAGATCGAGAGGGTTAAAAGTCACAGAGCTGCAGGACAGATCAATCTGGAAGTATATTGGAAACCTCAGAGTCGGTCACTCCATAAGGACCTTTCCCAGGCCTTGGGAAAGGTTCGCATCTATTTCTGAAGCATCTGGTGCTAGCAACTGTTTGAGACAGGTTACAGGAATACTTGTTAACTCCTGTATGGAAACTCCTACGTTTCTAAGAAACAAAGAAAACAGCAGCACAATAAATAGCAGTAAGAAAAGTATCCATCCTGCAAGTTTACTTTTCAACAGACTCCAAATCTCTTCACTCCTCAAGCAGCTGTTACTCTTGTACATAACATATCCTGGACTAAATGAAAGCTAATCTGAGAGAACAGAAGTAATAACTACAGGCTCCAGAAGAACTACTGTGACATTAGTCTCTTCAGAAAACTTACTCTTCTTAGTATGACACTGATTTCACCAAGTGCCATCGTAACCAAAGATAATTTCTAGAACTAAGAATAAAATGTAGTTATTTTATACTCTGTTAAGTTTTTATTCAAGAGTACATAAAAAGTATGCATAGACAATAGTACTGGTACTAATTTGTCATTCAATGGCTGTTTTATCCTTGATTTGTCCTCTACTGAATGACAAATCTCATGTTACCAAAATGAACTATAAGGACAGTTTAATTATCAACCAAAATACTTATCAAACTTATAATTCTCAGCATTAAATAACTGCATTGCATGAATACTACTCGACCTTAAATAAGGGTTTCCACACAACAGATCTGAAGGGACAGCAGTGAATGTTTAAGCACGAAACTAATCAGAATTCTCTGCCTTTGTGGAAAAATTTCTGAAAAGTGATTCATAAAAACAAGAAAATGCACACACACAGATGACCATACTGATTTCAGTAAAACTGAAGAGATCTTTCAGTTTCATGATCAAATTTGTGGTCAAAGTCAAATACAAAGATTGATTCCAAACTCAAACAACAACAAGGGCACTTGTCTGGGACATTAGAGAAAGAACTTTGAACCTAGTTTCCTACGTCCCAGGTTAACACTCCCAACCAAGGGACAGTTTGCCGCATCAAGACAGACAGATGTCTCTTCCATTCAGATATTTAATATGGAAAAAAAAAAAAATCTAAAGCATCACAAATCTGTCAGTCAAAGAAATTCAGGTTTCACCGTGCAACTGCGGTGAAAAGCCATGCAATACGGATTATTAGGAGCCCTTAAAAACACTCCTTCTCTCATCACATTTCTTCAGAAGTTCCAAAACACTGATTCACCAATTTTAAAAGGACCCCAAAATGCATCAGCCACTGTTAGAATTGGCAGAAATCCCATGCAACAAAGGCCTCTCAGAGTTATACAGTCTAATCTTATGTCTTGAGTTTTCACAACCAGACACTTCTATTCACGAACAGCACTACTTTTCTCATACTCTAAAATATCTAATGTTTTTACGTACTGTGTATGTTTGGAAGAACCAAACATCACATGTACAATCAGTAACTCTCACATTATTCTGTTGCAGACTGAGAAGACCCTAGATCTACACTGAAGCAGGGTCTCTAAATTCCTTTAGGGAGACATGACCCATTCAGGATAATGGGCAAAAATATCATTAAACCAGTTTTATATTTCCTCCAGTCTTCTAGCTGTCAGGCTACGCTCAGCATAGGATAGAGCAAAAAATGTCCGTTCTGATCTTCATACATCAGGTTTACATCATAAACTGGAACCAAATATGCCTCTATCTCCCTCTCCTGTTTTGTTTTTTTCTTTTCCTCAAAATACCGGAACCTGTCCATGACTTCCATTAAAAATGTAGTTAGTGCAAATATAGCAACCAACCCTATACATGAAGATACAGATCAGAAGTTCTTCAAGGTGGTACAATGTAACAGTTTCCTGAACAAAGTTAAGAGACTTTTGCAGATGGGATAATTGCATGTACATATACTCACGCTTGCAGATGCTTTCTTTGCAAGGGCTGTATTTTCCCCTGCATGCACACAAAGAGTTGCACTACCAAAACTCATGGGGAACTCAGACTTTTAATTAAGAAAAGCAGTTGTTTAAATACATCCCTCAAGCAATGTAAGTGTCAGGAGGAGCACTGACTCTCTACGCATAAAAACTACGTCGATTGAAAGTATTCATAATAAATATAAACACCTTCTGCATAAGCCCTTTACAACCAGTGTAAAATTGTACCACAACTGACTCAAGTATGTTGCTGACACTTAACAGTGTTTTTTTTATTTAAGTCTTTTCTGTACTACTGCATATCTGAAAGAAAAATTCAAGCTATCTTCATGTTTTGAAAGAAAAGATTATTTACAGTAGTTTAATCAATTTACCTGGCTTTGGAGCTGCCTGAGACATGAGCATCTGGTGGGTTCTAAACATTCGCAAACACGGCATCTTTGCAGAATGCACCTTAGGTGGTAACACACTGCCAAAAACAGGAGCTGAGCACCCAGTAATACCAATACGCAGAAGGCTTGCCATTTCGTCCAGACCTCACAGCAGGCTCCTCACTATGTATGGAATCCCTGCTGCCCATGTACAAAGAAAGCAAGAATTATTAATGATACTAGACAAAAGGTATGTAAATTCAGCAGCTTAAGTCCAGTCGACTGCCAGTAGCCATGAGATGGCCATTTCTCCCTACCTTCTCTTTCGAGCTAGAAAACAAAATCAACTTTTTTTCAAACTAAGACAATTATCAAACTAAAGCAACAAACCTATGGCAGGACTGACAGCTTGACGTAGAGATCGTATTTCTGTGACTCAAGACTGTATTCTCTTTACGCCGTTGCTTTAAACAAGCAACTCTGCCACGTGAAAACCTCCTGCGCCTCAAGGAACCAGACAAACAATTCAAACCCCTGGCAGGGCTTCCAAAGCAGTTACCCCGAGTGAGGCAGCAGCTTACAGGCGCTCAGGAGACATACCAAAGCAGGCAGTCGGAGCGGGACAAGCGGGGCAGCGGACAGGGGAACTAGGCCCCCCTCGCTAGCAGGTGGTTACCGGCTGCCGGCGGAGGGAAAGGCTCTTCGCCCGAAATTCTGCCGTTCGCTGGGCCCTACTGTGCCGTCTT